CAGCAGCGTACTACTTCTCAGATCATGAAGCTGTTGGAACAGCTGCAGTTCATTATGCTAATACTTGCGCGGATGTTTACCTAAAACAACTTCCTAAGTTGGATGATGCTTACTCTCGTTTCAAGGTCGGAAAATACTCTTCAAATCATTATGAGCACTCCGACAAATCCTGTTTGGTTTTCACAAAAAGTTCCCAAATGCTCTTCAATCCTTTGCCGTCTATGATGCTTCAAAAGATTTTGGTGAGCTTCAGCATTGAACCAATCGGAACGGCAGGATTACAGGCTTCTACCTCGATGAGGCTAATGTAGCCTGATGTGTAAATGCATCGCTGAGCGGTGTCAAATTTTAATTTGGTTCATTCATCACAATGAAAAGTTTTAGACTTGTCCTGTCCGCTTTTATTGGACTTGATGATGTTGAAAACTACGTTACTACTTTGCTGTTTATTTAACTTACGCCCTACTAATGATTCAACTGTTTAAAATATCATTGTCACATTCTCGGGCAACACCAAAGAGAATAGCAAATTCAACGTGCCACTAGAAACAGATGGTAGTGAGTTAGCTGCTGGAAAGTCATCACCTTATTTCTCTGCAGTTGGATGGTAGATCGAAGCTGCAAACAATTTACTCAATGAGAAAGCAGCGGTGATTGGTAGGTGTGTGGATTTTTTGGTGCGGCGTGCAAGAGGCAGGTAATTTTTGCCACCAGGCTGCAAGCTACTAAAATGCAGTCCCATCATATTCGTGAATACCAATCCGCGTCTTCAGTTGAGCCTATACAGCAATCTGACAGGGATTCGACTTGAGACAGTGAGCTGAGACATTCAGTTGATGAGTAGATGCTCCACAGTGCTCCAATGCCCCAATACGTCGAGGTGCACCAACGATGTCTCAGCGGCCTCGCTGGCCGGCGAAGCTGAGCACAAAACATTTAGTAATTCATTATAGAAAACGACGCTGTTATCTCAGGTACTGAGTTAGATTGGTAGCGATGTTGCTAATCCAATTAAATAGGGCGGCAACGATTTGGCAATTAAGTGGGCACACCTTGCCAGCAATCGCCGAAGCCCAAAGCGTACCTGCATTGGGTATCAATTTATGTGAAAGCAGAGCAATGGTGGGATTAGTCTCGCAGGTGTTGATATGATGACCAAGCCGCTCAGTGCTGCAGTGCTGAAATATATGATTAAAGTACTTCGCTGATTCAAATTTTAGTTGTAGTGGGTGTTTTTGGTTGCGCAGCTTCCGCTCTAATAAATCATTATTTCATTACTGAAATTGTCTTGATTATTTTACGGAATTAATATGCATTACATTGACTGACTGTCGTGATAGTATTGCTGCAACTGTTGAAAAGTGATGCTGTTAAAGTTCCACTGCTTCGATTGTAAAGTAGTAACAATCACGTTATTTAGAGTTGTGAATTTCGACTGATGCGTTTATTTTTGTGCTGTTGGCAGAATTTCGTTTTTCGCTAACGCATAATTTTTATCGGAGAACTCTATTGGAACTAGATCAGTGGATCCGAAACATGAGAGCTCGCGATCGTAAGTAGAGGCGAGCAAAGGAGCTACCGCAGTATCTTTTTTAACCGGCGACGGAAATGCGTTTCGAGTTCTCATTTTTTCAGGGGGTGGACGATTTCTACCAATTCAACTCACCTGTCAGCTCTTGGACATTCCCAACCATTTTCATTTTCAAATGGTTATTATTGCAATACCGAGGTTCGAGATTGCGGCCGCTAACGCGCCCCTGGCTTCATCATCAAAACCACTTTTTGTCATCGATTCCAACTAGCCAATCGGCCGAAAGGACTTGTCTTTCGCAGCAAATGTTCTCTTGTCGACAAGATGAACCCATTCCTCGCAGGCCGGCTACTTCGACAAAGGGAGCTGCTTGAGCTTGCTGAAGGAGAAATGAGGTGCCCCGGGTCTGCTACTCGTTTCAAACCGTTAAGATGAGTGATCAATCACAGTGGTTGTTAGCAGGGGCTGGCCACAATTTGTAGGTGTTAGATTTTATATACATCTTTAGCTGAAAATATTACTAAGAATTTTTGACAACGGAGCTAATCTTCTGCTTTTCTTAGAACTAACATGCTACGAAAGCGGAACTTCGCCGAAGCAGCCCTCTGATAGATTCCGAGGGACCGACTGATGACTTCGTTCATGTTTGCAGTACCCTTAACGAGGTGTTCTCACACCAGACGATTGGATCAATACTAGAACATTAAATATCCACTGCAGCGACTATTGTCGATGGCCGAGCAGCCACATCATGTGGATGCAAAGAATGGTCTTTGGAATGCTAGGCACGGGTCCAGCGAAAGGGATGAAAGACAATTCTACGCCGATCCAACTACAATCCATTGGTGTGAGGATCATTGGTCTACTTGATATCCTGCCTCTTTTGTTGCTCTAGCATGGCTTCTCCAAGTATTCAAGCAATGAGGAATCATTGATTCCTCTGCTCCGTGCGTGAAGAATGACTTGGGGGCCGTTGATTCCTTCACTTGTATCTTTGGTGCCGTGCCGCAACTTCTTTCAATCTCTGCTGAAACTACAGTCATGGACACCTTTATAGACTCATCCCTTCATTTGAAGTACAAAACGAACTTAATCAACAAAGATATGCAAATTAAATGACAATGGACATAATTCTTCATACAGAGAAATGTAGCTTCTAAATTGAAGTAGCGACCCGCAATAGAGTTTAATTGAAACCTGTGAGAAAATATTATTGCCACCTTCATTCAGTCAAATCAATATCATTGGTGCACGGCAGTGAACCACAAATCAAATGAGCAATAAAAAATATATAAAAGTAAATCCACGTGGAGCTGCAATCTAGAGACTTCGACAATTAATAAATTGACGCAATCAATTGAGATATTAGTTCACTGGATCACCAAGTCCTTGGGGGAGTATCTCAACTGCATCGGCTTTAGTATCAACATTTCCAAGACTCTATGGACATCACACGGCCGCCCAATAAGATGTTAAGCATTCGAGAAATGTCATGAGTGCCTGCGATTGCTGGCTAGTCAATGGAAGGGACAGCACAATGACATGACAATATATCTTTAGTATCTCAACAGTTCTAGCAATCCATTTGAAGACCCTCCGACACACTCAGCATTGATTTTACTTATTCAGTGAGTAGCATCCATTCAACTCCACACAGCACCATGGACGATGAAGCGTGCATTCAAGACTAGAGCCAAACAGCTTTCTGACTACTGAACAACGTAGAACCACCAACCGAGTTCCGATCACCATTGTCCGTATCACCGTATCATTCTCAATCATTCCATTCACCGCTCAAATGCGAGCAGCTTTGTGGTGATCAGATAATGGATTTGACTTTGTATATTTTCACCCTCTGCTACCACGTATTTGATGGGCATTGATTGGTGGACCAAGCTATCGACTGAATAAGTAAACAGGAAAGACTGTATCGTTCGGTAATAGTTTGCATCAGTTTTCAGTCATTCATGAATGCATTTCTATTATCATGCTATTCTGAAACAAACGCCGAAGCAACTGATTCAACTACCTCTTTGAAAGAGTTAATTTTGGTGGGTATTGCCGGCAAAAGAGACTCTTCAAATTAAATCAGTTGCCTTAGCAGCCAGATGTACCTCTTCTGAGATACGAAAGCACTGGCCTGAGGATCAGCAACATAATGACCAAGAAAACAACGCAAAGACACGCGAAAACTAATTTTTTGAACTATGAACTTGGGAGATGCATTGACGAAGTTCTCCTGGGCAAGTGATGAACCGGGAAATGATACTATGATTCACATATCTTCTTCCTTTCTGAGCACCGTTTGATTGTGGAGAGACAAAACCAACCTAGTTCACTTGAACCTCTTCTTAAGCAACAATTACAAATGATGTACCGTTTTTCACCAGTAATTGAACAAGAATGCCTATCCTAAAATTGATTGGGGTAACTTTCAATTTCTCTGAGAATTGATAAGCGTAAATACTTAAGGTGATATTTTTTGGTTCCGGTATCACAATGACGAAAACAGTTGTCAGATTGATTTGATGAACAGAAATTGTCTTTGAGCCTTCAACAGCAAAAACCACTTCAAAATTTAGCATATCAAATAAGTTGATAAATCTCACCGAATAATCAAATGCCTCAATTGAACTAAATTTTTCTGCAACCTCTGCGGTCACGCAAATCTAGTAGTTCGTGCGGCCTTCGTTACAATCACCAAACAATAGCTAACTGGTTTTTCTAGTAATTGAGGACTAACCAACGATAAGGACATGGATCTAATCACTGGCTGCAGCTCAGAATTGTTGTAAGCCTCCCTGATATTATCATTCGGTCTTCTGGTCTGTGTCACTTGTCCGCCGCCGTGATGGCCCATGGACTAAGCAAGTTTTCTTTGAAGGACCGGGTGATGACTTGTACGTTCTTCTTTAAAGAGGACTTCTTTGCTTCAACCAATAATTGTCGGTTGGGATCCGCAGGCAATGAACCAAATTTGAAATGTCCGCTAGGAGATAGTCGAGAAAGTAATGAATCCTGCGCGAGGTACGATTTGGGTTTGCATCTTCCGTTTTCAGACTGCTCTGTTTTACTAGATATTTTAAGTCTTTAACTATAAAACCTATATTCCTGTTAATGAGGTTGTCTTTGAATTAGTCAACAAAGTCCTTCATTGATTTGCGATCTGTTTGATACCCCGGAATTAATTTCGGCCGTAGTGCAAAAGGTGCTACACAATTGCTGGATTGGCCGTCACATAATATGTAATTTGCAAAAGGATTAATCAATGACTTGTGTTGAGCTTTTAATTTTCATGCCATGTCACTATCTGTTAGTGTTTGGCGCAATACATTATCCAATATGAGAAATTATAATGCAATTGTTACTGAAATCCGTAGTAACATTATTAGGGTGTCCAATGCAAACCATGCTGCGTCTAGCTTAAATGCTGCTTCGATAGGAGGTGTCTGCACCGCGGAATTGGTTCTCAATCGCCATACTGCTTCTGCAAATTTGTGTTGGGTAATGCAAGCGAGCTGGCTAATAAATTTGGTGATGAAGGATTTGGTGGTCGCTCAGCTTCATCGCGGTTAGCCTAAGTCGGAAAGAAAATGTTAATAAAGTTAAATTAGATTGAAATGAGATTTTACCGAGGTTTCAGGAAGGAATGTTGAGGTGGTGACTGCTGTGCTCCACAATCAATCCCTGCTGGATGATGCGCTCCAGGCTGTTGTTCTGCCGAAACGGCCATGATGGAAGCCTCTAGATTATTGTAGCCGCAGAGTTTCTTGGTCGATCAACGTGACAAGAAAGCCCATGGTCAGTTACAAAACGGATTATTTAGATTTCGTGAACTAAAAGGTTTTGGGCTGAAAATGAGAAGATCAGCAACTTATTTTTTCATACAGGTCAGATTGCGGGTGTTAGTGTCGCTTTTCTTGATGTAGGAGCTAATGCAACATTGTTGCACAAGAAGGGAAAATCAAAGGGGCGTATGCTTCATGCTCCCTGTAGTCGTAATTATTTTTCGCCATCAGATGCTCTAAATTACCGCCCTGATCATCATTCTAAGCTGATTGTGCTTGTCTAAATAGTGCATGGGATAGCCACAGTGCAGAATCGCCGCTATATTAATTTTTTGAAGCCCTATCACTCTTCCCCCCTCAACATCACCAATTAGCATGATCATCTACGAGTTCCAGGTGAGAGAGTTACAAATGATATTGCAAAGATAAATGGCACTTCGGCTGCTCGATGATCACGGAGTCAGCTTTGAGAGAATGGAACCCCAATCATGAAAGTGAATAAGTCTTCTTCAGGACATAGCCACCGCTGCTTTTCCTTTTCAAGTGTGGATAAAGCGTGGCCATCGCCAGCTGTTTCTGTTGGCAGGTTGCTATACTATCTTAGGATAACTAAGCAGATATAGGAAAAAGCGGTTCCTAGTTTCTGTTCCGATACGCAGTTTCCATCCAAGGTGTTCAAACGGACTCTCAATATGAAGTGTTCGCAGAGAAATTGTATCTTGTTTTGGAGCGTCTTCAAAACCGAGTGCTGAGCTTTGGCAAAAGAGAATCTTCAGACAATCGAATCCGATGTTATTTGCAGCAAATCTTCCGTAGTACTTATTGAATGAAGCTCCGATGAGTGGATAATTTTTGATAATCATGAATCTCCCCGACCAAGGCGCTCGACTCACAGGTTCCATTGAATAATATAAAGAAAGAAAACGAACCGCCGTATGATAAAGTAGCAGGATGTGATTCCTATGGCACCACCGCCAACCACAGCTGGAGAACCAAAATAGTTGTTGGAAGTCATTTCAGTGTTTTCCATGCCAGGACATGAGATGAAACGCCAACGTAGTCCTCAATGAACTTATTCAATGTGTTCTTGCCTGCTTCTATTGAGCTATTGATGAATCAAAGTTGTTTTAAAATATGGATCATTCGCTGCAATGCCGGCAACAAAGCCGTCTGCAGCTGCAGCTAAGATTTCTTCTACTGGTGTTACGGGGGATTGGAGCTCCCTGCAACCAATGACAACAATATCGTATTTCCAATTCTTTCACACGGATCATGATATGATAACAGCAACAACGGTGACAAATATATTGACGCGTAATAAACTGATTCGTAGACAGATCGTCCAGTCGGCGATGAATTAGATTCAACACAAACGGCTACATCCACCTACGATATTGATCAAATTGCTAATGTCCACACATGATGCTGAGCTTGATAATTACTAAATTGGTGAAAGCAAGAGACTTCTCAAAATTATACTGATCAGATACGATACTTCTTCAATACTACGAAAATCAATCAAGTGATATCACTGAAGCAGGTTCTCAAAACTTATTTGGCTGCTGCCCTTTTGCCGCTACCTGTGCTAATCCCAATCTTGCATGCCCGTTGTGCGCGGTTGCTGGTGAATCTGAGCTGAAGGCAACCTTTGAAAGCAATACATTCCGGTTTACTGATGGTTTGTCCCAATAAAATCTCTTAGATCGCGTCCGCGGTCGGAAGTGAAGTCAGCAGCAACTGATGATTCTGCCAGACCCAGGCAAGTTCCTGAAATATTTTTGAGCTTAAAAGAATTAACTAAAAAGACATATTTGTTTTAGTTATTATACATTGCAGTGTTTGAGTCCTTGCTGCTGGTTCATCATGTAGCTGAATGGAGGTTTATCAAAATAGATTGCCCGACTGCATCACGTGAGGGTGATATTAACCCGCTCTTCTAAAGTTGGAGTTTCTCTGATTTCTTAACGCAGATTATCGTTTAAATGATTTGAAATCACACCAATGAATACTTCCACTACAAACATATGATCTGTGCCGTTACAAAATTATCCTCAGTGTACTCCAATCGTTTTTGCCCCATATTCTTTGAAATTAAGAAGAGGGTTTCATTTTTCAACAACGCAACACCATCTCATGGTTGCAACATTTCAAGATGACCCCACTTTCCCGGGATTCTCCGATCCCAAAATCAACCTGCTGACATCAAATTTAATTAAGTGCGGAAACTGAAGGATATCGGAACAACTATGAGTTGCTATCTTGCATTTGATCTTGGTTTGAGTATTCACGGGATTTCGCAATCAATAGATATTGATCATTGAATAATGCATTAAGAGATGTAAATTGAGGTCACTCAGTCGCGGGTAACATAAACGATCTTGAACCCTTTCATGGTCTTACCCACGTATGATGCATTTGATTAAAATGGGGAAGATCCATCAATAATTTTATCAACTGTTGAATTGTTGCGTTCTGCTGCAAATGACTCACTTCTTTTTGTTCCACCCTGTCACAGTGGTTTGGCTGGACAAAATGGTGATTGAGAGTCAGTTGTTGGATATAAAATGCCATTAACGAAAAGCAAGTTAGTTGGGACCTCAATCCATGGATCAGTGGCCTTGCGGATTGGTGATTGTGAGTTGATTTCTCTCTCTGATGGGGCCCTGAGTTTCCGATCATCATCCAAATTTTCAATTATTTCGGTAGGGATGATGCTATATTATCCGTCCAGTGTACTCCCATTTTTGTTATGAACTTGTCTAACGTTTCCATGAACCCCAAAGCTGCAATCATATTTTAATCAGCTTTCACTCTAAGATAGGGGCGTTCAATGGCTTTACTTCACTGGCAAGAATAGAATCACTAAGTAAATCTTTGGATTTGCTACTATGGGCTTAATCCAGCACTACTGAAACATCTCAATCAAGAAATTTATTCATTGAATTGTTTCATTCATTGAAATGTTGATTCAATGGGTTTTGATATTGGTGTCATCTTGGATTTATCAGTCTATTATGAATTCTCACATGTTGGAGGTTATTCTACTGCTTTCCAATATGTTCAATCTACTGACCGCCAACACCTGCTTTTAAGAACCGTCACCGTTGCATTGCATTATTGCTATTCAATTATATCTCCAAAATCCTCACTTTGTTATGGAAAGAACTTCCTTCAGCGTTGGATTAGAATATTCGGTAGTAATCATACTCGTTTGTTCTTAAGTAACTTTTGGCTCATATTGAATTCCTTGAGTGAAACCTTTGCAATGATTTACTCAGCTGGCTTTTTGCCAACAATAGAACTAACCAACAGGTTGGCTATGGTTCCACAGACGGGATGACAAAACTGACGCAATGCTTCTTTGTTTGAAGGTTAAAAAAGCCTTCGTCAATTATCGCGTTTCGCAGTGTTTCAAATCCACCCATGTGTTTCACCCCATCGGATGTCTTTTGCACACCAGTAGCTACGATTCCACATCATTGAAGGGTGCCAGTGAGCAGATTTCTCCAGTCGGTGTTCCGCACTGGCACCTGATACGCGCCGGCAAACATGAACAGTCGTTATCAAGCTCTTGAAATGTTAATGATCATTGACAGAAACATCTGCGGTCCCATCAATGGCTTAATGGGGAGCTGTCATTTTCCGTGATGTGAACTTTTGGTTTCCAACAGTCATTCACCGATCATCCTCCGTAACACTGAGAAATATAAACCTGTTGGTACTAAATGGGTTCCGATCGCTCTTATATTCTTTTACTTTATCAACCTTTCTTCCCTAATATAATATCATGGGATCTGTGCGACGTAAATCACAACGAAGTCTGCTCTTTGTGCCTCTCATGTGTTGAAATGAAGTTCTAGGGACGATAAGAGCGGCACCAAAATATGTCAGACAAGACCTTGCGGCAGCTATTCCATCATACAATTCTAAATAGATGACTTGAATATGGAAGAAAAACACAGAACAGAACAGCTTTCTCCTTTAGAAGGAAATTGGTTGTATCACCGACTGTCACCAGAGAAGACCGGAGAGAACGTCCAAGGGACAAATGTGCAAATCCGCGAAGCTCCCAAAGTCCTGGCTGTAACAGCATCTCTTCATTCATTTCAAAACTATACAAGTATATTTTTCTGTTTTCAAGATTTTCATGGCAAACTGTTTCAGATCCGGCAATCCAATCCATATAAAGCTAGGAGCCACCGTTAGCATCACACACTTATGGAAGATCATCGGTGGCTGCAACAGACTTTTTCAATTCAATTCATTAAGTTTGCACTATCATCATTCTCATTGTTTGAGCTGTTGTCAAAAGGTTGAAGATCTAGAATGTTGTGATCATAAGATGTATTCACCCATGAAATGTCAGTTTCAATATCTTGCCATTGATGTCAGTTGACTCATTCTTCTCCAATACCGCAGCAGCAGCAGGTGCTATTCAAACGGCGGATGTGATTGCTAGATGGATAGCAGCAAAAAATGGATCATTGAAAGAAGAATAAGTTTTATCAAATTGAGAATGAACGCTGACAACAGGACGGCTTTAAAGACCGATTCTCATTCAGTATGCTCTTCATTTCTTGCTCAAGCGTACATCAACACAGAGAACGCCGCATCACGTCACCTGGATTGGTTCACTAATGTGGCGAACTTTTAATTTGAATCACGGCCAAAGTCCTTGAGTTTACCAACAGACGATTTTCATCCACAATACTATTTCCAAAGCATTAGTCATGAGAACACCCAAGTTGTTGCAAATCAAAAATATCAATAGCACTGGAAAAATCGCCCAATTACTCAAACCATAATTGCCTAAATTTGATTCAACCTCATTGTTGTGTCTCTCAGGTAATTGTTCTCGGCCAAAATTTAGCGGAATAATCACAAAGCTAGTCATAAGGAACAGACTTTTTCTTTTTGTTTGCTTTATATTGCCATCACTCAGTTGCCACCACAAATTCAAATCTAGTACAAAATCGCACAGCATGGCGCGTTTTATTCAGCAACTGTTTATTACATTTAAAACAATATGCCAAAGTGGCATCGTTTAATGGTCGTAAACCAATCGGCACAACAGCAACATATTTTAAATTCCCAACATGATTAGTGAAAGAATGACAGTTATGTACGACACAAAGGACATTTTTTAGCCCAATAATATTATCAAGATCACAACCAGGCGCAGCCACCGACCCCGCTGTGGACGAGTTATTAATAAATTGGCTGGCGTCTCCTTCCTGAAAAGACGGACATTTCAAGCCAGCGTTAACAGAGAAGCCATTCATTTGCAAATGATTGTTCAGTCAATCACTGGTCCATGATCTTTAGGTTCATGATGAACTAAATGTTGACGCACCACATATGGCAATAAGCCAAATATTTAACGCTGAAGCCGCGCTTACGCCACTCAACGCAGCATTCTTATTACCGGCATTTGCTTTGAGCGAAATCCACCTCCTTTAATTGCAGCATCTGCTATTGATCTTAGATGGGTACCTTTAGAGGCACAGTAATTGCTCTCTCAAAATCATACATTCAGCTCCATCACAGTACAATTTTCTTGGAGTTCATCGCTAGATGCCGCGAAGCAGCAATCAGTTCGGCATGACCTGCTTCATTGTTGAACGATTCAGCCTTAGCACAAACTCTTTACAAGACACTAATGTCATTGCACAGCTCGTTGAGGTTCACCATCGGTTCCCTAGCTACTTCCAATCCGCAACCAATCCGCATCTGAATGAATGTGGTGTCATCAAGAACCGCCGCAGCCAAAGTATTGCTAGAACTTATGATCCTACTCGAAAAAACAGGGTACAAATAGTAGCTAAGAATTATTACTTTTTGCGACACAGATGGAAAGTCATTATTTCTGATTTGCCATCTTGAGCTGTTCATTTCCAACTGCGCCGATCGCTGTAAGCCCTCATCTATAATCAAATGTATCAACGCTATGATGGATCGCCAAAATCTTTCCTTCACCAATTCTAATTATGGAGAACTTGGATGTCTAGTAGCAGCTTTCATAGCGCAGCTCTTATGCTTAACAAAAGCAGCTTCGCCAAATGAAGAAACACCATCAGCATTGTAACCCAAGGGTTTTGACAATGGAATTCATTAAAGATGTTGTTCTTATCCGATTTAGTGACTAATGGATTTGGTCCTAATCAACATGTTCCGGATGAAAACACCATCTTTGATAATATCTTGAACCAAAGGACATATCGGCAGAGCACCAACATTGAAGGACCAATCCAACAATGCATTTAGCTGCTTTAATTTGTCTTTCTGATACAAGCAAGGGAGCATTCGCAATTTGGCTCATTTCCTGTTGTATTAACGGCTCAAAAAGTTATTGATATAAAACGGTTTGAATGCAAAATCAGATTGAAAGCATCGCAGCCCTTTTATAATCCAAGTGGGGTGGTTAGCAGTTCGTCGCATCGGCTATCCTGTGAGAGATACCGCATGCCTAACATACAGAAGCCGCAGGAGTACAACTCCTTCATGCACTGGCGTTGACCTTGGACGATTGGGTCGATTCTGCCGAGCAATTTGAAGATCCTTCAAGTGGCTGTTGGGCCTTGTCAAGCAGTGCCCATGTGTGGGTGCAAAAAATAGTTTCACGGTGCTGCCCGCAACCTAAAACAAAGCAGATCTCACCATAACTAGGTCCTTATACTAAACGCAATGACGAGATGCGAAAGGTAGCTGTTTGTGCAATACGGCCTTTTCCCTTAAACCAGAATTAGGCAATTATTGTTTTTCTCGAGTAGACTTGGCGACTTCCTTTACCTCGTCCATTAGGTTCGTTCTGCATCCTGATCATTCTTTTGCCCATTAGCTTGTTTGAAAGCCCTTTTTTTGTTTCACAACTGTTTTGCTTACCTTCTTTGAGTGGTTTATAAAACCAAACGCTGTAAATGACTTACAAAGTAGGAAAATGAATGAATTAACAATGTAAATCGGAATGCAAAAACTTTGTAATACCAAATATGATTGGTTTCAAACCACAATGAAAAAGTGTAATACAATCAAATTATAACATTTGTAGAAAAAATTTCAAAAGAAGGATTCAATCAAACTTGCAATAGTAATGATTTTTAGTCCTACGAAATACAAATAGTCCACAGCAGTCAGTTAAACCCAATCGACATAAACAAAATTCCAATAATCAAGGACAATTGAATGAAAGAAAGAAGTCGTCGACATTACTAAGCACAGGTGCACAAATGTCCTTGCTCAACATATCAGCAACATTCCATTTAGTGTTAATGCTAGCGTAACCAAATCCAATGACCCACAACGGTGTCACAAATCCATTCGTGAATGAAATATCCATTGAGTATGAATGATTGGTGGGATGGCTACCCCGGTCGATAGCGGATTTGCCCTCGCTGATGATAATTACTTTCAAACAGTTGTACTATTATACTTGAAGATCTGCACTAGCAACACAGCTTGTCTCACTACTTTAGTGAGTGAAACGTTATTACCTTCACAAGTCTGGAATGCTATTTAAGAGTGGATCTTTGAACGGCAAGTATCTGTCCGATTGATATAGTGGAACATATAACTACCGAAACATATTTTGTTGCCTATATGGCCAGCCCATCGGCTGTCAAAGAAACTTACTACTTATCTGAGAAAACAGCGATGCAATGAACAGTTTATTGCTCTTAGTCTTGAAATGTTGCTACGCATATTCCACAACTTACATCGACATTTTATGCTGCAGTAACACGTTAACTCAGTATCCCAACAACAAAACCAAAAGGAGACGCGAAACAATTTGGCTCACAATGCATCGAGCCAACAGTAGATATGAAGAATGATATCTGTTCAACATCTTTCTTACAGCATTCCCAATTTCATGGCACGTTGAACGGGTGAATCATCATTGGTGTAGCTTGTTAGAGAGACTCATTCATGTTCATTTGATAAACCATCACTTCGTAGTAGCTCTACACGGATACCAATATATCTCTGTTACTTTGAACAGGATAAAAATGAGGAAAACGACGCACGATTACTCGTAATTCTTTCGCTGCAATAGATGATCAGCAATATGATTTGCCTCCCTTGATGATTCCATCGATTGATGCGGGATTATGTTGAGCATCGACATTTAATGCTAACAAAGAGTAATCTCTGATCTTCGATAGAAAGACCACACCGTGTTCTGCTGAAGGTCATTGAAATGCAAACGCTTGAAGAGATCCCAGCTTCTCCAAGTACAATCAATATGGTGATTGTTTGAGATTTCAAATTGACTCGAGTAACCACTAAGCTTTCAATAGTTATTGAGCATTAACAAAATGAGCAGGGAGCTTCATGTAAACCTGCGGGTTGATTTCTCAATGATGATATGCAGTGGTGACATCACTCCAACGATTCATAAATATGATTGAACATGCAACTCTAGGAGTGGCTCCTACAAATCCACACACATTTACTGGAGTACACGTTGTTCTTCATTGAATTCCTTCAATCTGTGAATAACCTTGAGTAAGTACTGTGGTATTAGTCAAGTCACCAGCTGCTGTTGGCTTCATTTTAAATACCCAACAACAGCGAACGCGTTGTTTTCCGATCAGAAGATCAACCAATTGGTGTCTACAGCATTGCGGCAATCGCTGAATCTCTGATTGACCAGGGACTTATCACGTTAGTTCTGCAGGATTTGCATTGACTGGCGTGCCAGGCATAATTGCTGCTGCCAGAGGTTACAAAAGTGACAGTCTTTTAATGTCATCACCTAATTCATTTCAACACTATTATAGTAGATATCCAAAGGAATTAAAGTTTCTTTCGGGGCCCGCTTGATTACTAGCAAACTAGACCAATTCAACTACAGCACCAGTCGCAGGATCAGCAAGTTGATTAGGATCATCAGTTGTGCACCTTAGCCTTTTCAATCCAGTCCATTGTCATTGCATTATATAATGGATTACCATACGAGATGATATCTAGATATTGATGTGACTCATTAGAGTTCCTTTTCAAGTATCTTCTGACCCAATGGTAGTCTGTATTCTTGTCATTGATAGCCGTTCACATTACTACTGATTGAACACCAGACGCAAAAGGTGTTGATGGAAAGGTGGATGGATTAGTTGGTTACATGGTGGAAAAAATGCTTCTTCTAAAAATATTTGGTTTGATCAAAACAATAGCAAGCACTGTCATCAAGAATGGTGAGTTGAATAGATAACACAAAGTAAATTATTCTACACAAATCGTACCTATCAATTGGTGCCGCACTACGGCTCCCCTTCCTTAATTATCCTGAATTGGTTGGCATGTTCGGCAGGGGAAGGACATAAAACTCTTCGACTTAGCAGTAATTTCCATTCGTCCACAAAACAATTCAAGAGGGGTTGTCAGCATTCAGTCAACTTTGTTTGGAATCGTAGTCATCAGAAGCACTGGACACTTCAGCAGTTCAATCCAGGACTAATCAGCAGTCTTCCATCAAGTTAACACTTTCTTCGCTTTTGTCATCATTTTCGAATCCCAAAAATCAGCGACCTCATTTTGTTAAGACAAAAAGGGCACCGTCGTTTCGTTCTTCTTCACGACATAGTGACATCGTTCTTTGAGCACATTCAATCCAAAGTCATTATCAGAGGGTTACAATGAATAGATTTCCCGAATATGTGCTAAGTTAGTTCGAAAAACCAGTTGCCGAAACACAGTTGATTTCGGCTCTATATCATGCAAGAGTCTCACCTTGATATGCTAATTGTTCATGCGTATTTGTATTATTTCACCCAACAGCAAATAGGGCAACGAGACATTGATAAAATTGTGAAGGTGTTCCTTCACCAGCAGATGCAGCGATGAAAACAGTTCATACATTTTTAATGGGAAACCTGGCATCTATATGTGTATCCGTGCTGATTGAAGTGTGGTTTCCAACATGGGGAGCTTAAGAACATTCCTCTATCATTTATACTTCAGCTGCATCACTGATTCAAATCATTCGAAATCATCAATAGTGTCATCACCACCACGAGTCAGACCTCAGAAAACAGTTAATTTGCGGATCCAATGATCATTGTTAGAATATCGTAAGAGATACCTAAATCAAATTAGATGAGCCCGCCATTATTAATCACGTCGTTTGTTACTTCCAAACACCAAGCAATCAGCAACTGACCTGCTTTATGGAAAGCGGACCAGGCGCTGTACGCACAGCATCGGATTGAACTGATGATAAAAGAAATCCTGGCCGAGAAGCAAAACTGGCACTAGCCAAAAATCTCCTTTTGAAAAAACAGTAGCTCTCCACTTTTTGTTGTTTTGGCTCACTCGAATGATATTTCCCAACTGCGATTAACTCAATTGAAACTGAGGGTGCAGCAATCGTTATGTTCAGTGAGGCTCTCATTTAAGAAAGAGCCCTTTTTACGAAGGTGCTCATCGACGCAGCAGCTGCATCGACAATGCCGGCCAGTTGAACAGCATTGTCCACCATGTTAATTTTGCAAGTGAACTGTTAAACGATAATATTGAAATGGCCCGTATGGAATGATGTAGTTCACACTATGCTGCAACTAAGTCATCTGCTCATTGTGACCCCGGCTTCAACAGCAATGATACGATATTGCTTCGGCAAGCAATAATATTCTTTATGGCCCTGCAGCCCATCAAAAATTTGCATTCTCAATACAGAGGGAGCAATTCTGCTAGCATCCAACGTAGGGCTGATGCAATACCAAACAATCTTTATTTCTATCAATGAACATCACAACAATACTTCCTTTTTTTCTGATGACGGGTTAAACCAACAAATCAAACTAAGCAACTTTAACATTCAACACAGAAGCCTGAATAGAAATGATTGCAAAATCGAATTGTTTCTTTGATTCTTGAATGCGAACGGTCAACATTGGGCTGATAATTTGCGGTAAGGTGTCCACAATAGAATCTATGGTATGGAAAAAGATAAGAACGAAGTACCAAGAAATCATCCCCATCCAATTTGTAGAGAACGGAATCAAACCACTCAGAGCCACCGCATCAGACAAGTAACAGCCAACGGAAAACTGAATATAGATACTCAGCTTGGATATATTAGTAACCACACCTCAGACGGTTAGAACAGTCATCTCGAAAATCTGAGAAACCATGCAAGCGACAGTTCCGGTTCACTGAGCAGTTACCAGGTGTGACTGCCAAACATGCTTTGCAGCGATCTGCCTTTTGGTGCAGTATAGGGGGATTGAGTCTGAGCCACGACCTTGTACAAAGTATATAATGGCATTCTAAATCGGTCTCGTTCGAATAGAGGCATGTCTGATGCTTTATCACAACTTTTCTGTTTTGAGCCACGGGGATGCTTACATTTGGTTCCACTCTGTCTGTCCCCGGTGAGGTTGAGTAACGTTTTGCGATTCAACTCAGTTTCAGATATGAAGGGCTGGCAATCTTATTGATTATCTCGATTTATTATACTTCTTCAGGTTCAAATATCTTATGCATCAATAACTCCACGTTATCAGCGGAATCGCCTAAGTTGGATGGCAGAAATCAAACAGATGAAAAAATGCGGTTAACTTTAAGACGTGGGCTTCCCTCTTGAATGTCAGAGCTGCTGTGTTGGTCACGATGGTTCCAGCGTTCGTTGAAAAACAAGTCAACCTTGTTGAAATTGTTAAGGCAGGCATAGTTAGCATTTCTTCATATTTCATTTGCCATACCTAGGTTACTGGTGGATTTGATGCTGCTCTGTTGGTGAAGGTGCTGTACATTCTGTGGTAGGGCCATCAAGTGTTAGTAAACATGGCGAAGCCTCATCAATCAGTAGGTGTTGACGTCTCCATCTGTACCAGCAACATCTTGTTGAATCTTAAGCGGGGGACATTCTTCAGCTAATAAAAAAGATTGAAGGACATTGCTTTTTCAACAATAATTGGATATACTCAAACTCCACAATGTTGAAGAAGCAGCCTCCATTTTTCTTACTGCTTGTGTTTTGAAAGAAATTTACGGTGAATGAGTTTTGACTCAATTCACAAATCATAACAAAATTCCAATTAGTTTTGCAATGGTTTTGGCCAACCATCAAGGTGCAGATTGAGTTGCTGATGGATCAGGCTCAGCAGCGCTGGTAACTGTTGCCAATGATGAAATCTTAAACTCTAGATGGAAAAAAATGAAAACGTATAGCCGTCACTAATTAGATATTTGATAATTGAATTTTTGTCATCGCGCCTGGTTTCCGATGAACCATCAGTTCAAGAGGATCTTTCCGCCGCTCTGGCTGTTCTCGATAACCCAAAATTGATTGGTCGCTGTTTGATCGGTCACTGCAAGTAACTGGCAAACAGCTGTCAACCTCCAAATCATCTTATGTCAATTCGGATCTTCACAAAATGTTAGTTCCAACAGTGATTGGATCACTATCTTAAATTCCCACTCTGGTCCGATCGCTGCTATTGCTGACACCATCGATCTCGCCAAAAGTATTGATTCATAGATGCACGTGAATGGCAGTTCATTGCCAAATGTTCACTAAGCTCCCCATTAGCCGATTGAATTTGAATCTCAGCTGACACATCTGAAGGGGCCCGATTTTCATTCAATCCTCCTGCTGTTGTCCTCAATAGTGCTTTCGCCCCTATGATAGCAGCTTCTAAATTATATAATTGATTTGTAGATCCAGCTGTGCGGATGTTTACTACAGACTGGAGTGAGTGCTTACGTAATCAGGTGACCATGCATTTAAAGATATAGCTTTTCAAATGAAATTTCTGCTGCAGCTGGGTTGATGATTGATTGATGTCGCCAGGGAAAACCGCAGAAAATTATTATTTACTAGTTTACTAGGCAGACCACCGCAGCTGTTGTTTCTCATCATGATGATATTCATGAGCCAACTCCAGCTGCTCGTGGTGATGAGAGCTGCTATTTGCTCCGTATTGTCAAAGATTAGTCATGCTTTGCACTTGCTCGGACTCCCACACGTTGATTGGCTGTTGCCAGGATGGTGACTAGTATCACGTTCTGTGATCGAATGTTGAATTAGCCGGTTCATAATGTCAAATGTGAAATTCCAATTGCGTGGAAGCCGTTCGAAGAGTTCTGTAAATCTTCTGCAATCAAAAAAGAAATGTGAGTTCCCGACGGATTTCATCAAAAATCGGTCATTCTTCGTAAGGATCGGAGATTCATAACAAGCGCCAACACAAAGTTAGCGGAGTACAAAATTCCTCATCACTGTTGAATAAAGCTGTGATATGTGCGGTGTCTATATAGAATTCAACTTCGACCGAGATCGGTGCTTCTATGACGATACCAATTGACCTATTCGGTAGAAGAAGATCAGCTGCTGCTAATGAGATGGGGAGTGGAAGTGCGACAAAAGCCATGGGTCTCAAATGTATCACCAAACCAAAGCAAAGTGATACAAGTGTGTTCTGTGTTTTTGTTGGCTGAAACATGAGCATAAAAGCTTACACAGTGCAAAAGCCTCAAACGAACTATTCTGTTGTCATTTCCTCCTTTCCGACTGATTGAACTAATTAGTCTTTAATGATATATTATTTGCCGCAAATAAACGAAAAGTTTCCTCAACTGATATAGTTAATTTTATTGCCGCAAGTGATATGAAAGAAATGGTCCTCCCCGCCATTCATGACGACACTATCAAAGGGGCAACCGCGCCAGACAACTGCTCTAAAGGTCACTACAATCCCGATAAAGGATAATTTGAATTCTGCCAAAATGATTGAAGAAAGGAAACTGTCAATGACACTGAATTGAAGTGAAGAGGATGTTTCGCATTCACAGACGGTAGTGGTGAAGTTAGTTACCCAAACACCGCTGCTTTTTGTCACATGGAACAACATGAAAAACGACAAAAGGTGCTTCAAATGATCTTGATGGCGCAGGAAATCACTTAAATGATCAAAGTAAGTCAGATCGTATCTTTTTCAACAGGAATCTTCTGGGATAATTTGCTGCGGCCCCCAAAGCTGCGATTACAATCAATCCAAACGATGCGGACCTATCTCAAACGATGCTGGTCAACCAGAGTTTCAGGCAATGCGTGAAAACGCAACCCACTTTTTTGTTCTTCTTCCATTGGGAAAAAGTTCTATTGGCTGTTGTTGTGAGTGTGGAAAACTAGTGAGCGGCAAGTGATAATTTTGCAAAACCCTGCTTCGTTGGTGAAAACGTTTCACAGCGTGAAGGAATTAATGTTATGAGAGGACTATGTCTAGAAATTTGTGATAAAACTGGTTAAGTTCCTTTTGCGGCTGATACATCAATGACATCTAATGTTCATGAATTCGTTGCAAGAACCGCCATATCTCATCTTGATTTCCGCACTCGAATTTGCAATGAACAACCTCCTGCAATTGTTAATGATGTATATGGGGTGAAAGAGAGAATGGTACAATTGCAATTTTTCTACTCAAAAAGTTCCCTGTTTGTTGGAAAAATGCAATTCATAGTTACACCAATCAATTCTCGTAAGAGCAATTCCGATGTCTATGGACTGATTTGTTTCTCAATGAACAAACGGCACTCTACGCTAAAATTATCTCCGCTTTATGTTACTACTACCGGATCATCTGATTCGAACGGCAACCAGGTCAAATCACATTTCACTTTACTGTTTAATATCAACGATCTTGATGACCATTTGAGTCATCATATTTCATTTGATGTAGCACAAAGAAATGAGGCAAATCCACTATCAAAAACGATATACGTGAGGCTGAATAATGAACTGCTCAAATCCGATGAGACTCATTTCAAGGCTACACCACTGATGATTAACCTAGACAAAGTGGAACTCAAAGCAAATGATTATGAGTTGGATGATGACAGGTCCTCAGTTCACACTTCAGTTGCTCATTTGTGCCTTCTCCTGCGAATGGATTGCCGTATTATATTGCTTTTGCTGCTGGGAGACTCAGTCGATATCTTAGTGCAACATCCTGGTCTAGCTAAGTTGTGTGCTACAGGTCTGAAGAGAATGAAAAATAAAGCAATTAGCTGTTTTTTCGTAAGCTGGTTCATGAGGTCAAGATGTGGCAAACTCGGGCAGTCATTCGATTGGATCCATTTAGATTCAACAATAATTTGGTGGATATATGCCTCTGTTTAACCGAATCTCAGTGCTTGGGATTGAAAAAGAGGCGTTTTCAGAGGCTTTCCTGACTTGTGACGAAAAGTGCATTTGACTCTCGGAATCAGTTCAAGCAGTTGTGTTTCTAAATCAGCAATTGTAGTATACTGGTAGAGAGTTTTATAATGCAAATTTATATTGCGATAGCAAATCCGCTATGAACTAGGCCAACCCTCCCTCCAAACACTCAAAGCCCAAACGTATTTAATGAGGGACCGTAAATATTAAGTTGTGCATTGTTGCTTCTCTTTTGGAAATATTATAGAAGAGATGTGACGCCGCTGATATTCTGAAAGCGGTGGTTGATAGTGCGCTGTTCAAATATCTGGAAAAAATGGTTAAAAGTCTGAATTGTGCATAATTTTAGCTTTGTTCGTTACTTAGGTCTTGCTTCATCTGATCTTGCATTCTGTTTAACTTCTTGTTCATTATGATATTCTATTGTTAGGCATTTTTTTAACTGACTGAGCTGATATTGCTCCTGTAATTGTTTCCATTTTGTTCTTAAAAGAAGTTTCTTCATTTACAAAATGTTCAAGTAAGCTATATAAACAACTTGCATTTGCGTCTGATTTGTTTATTTTTTTCTGTACAAAAACATTTATTTTGGTTTTGCGCTTTATCGAATATTGGAGCGTAGGATTGTAGCGTAATCAGCGGGGAGAAAAAAGTAGTGGTCTCAAAAAATCAACAAATCAATAAAACGAAAAGGGCAAGTAACTTACCTGACGGACAACGAAAAAGCCTTCCTTCGGCTCATTGCCTGAAAAAATGGAAAAGCCTTCTTAGTGCAATGCACATAACCAAATAAGGAATCCACCAATTTTGCCAACCCAATGACGATTTGCATTTGAATCCGGTAGTTGCAAATCGAAGTAACTACGCTGCGACTCAGAGCAGATCTTTGGAGATTATCGTTTGCGCTCAGAATACGTAATCGTTCGGTCAACGCGATCAGACGTTTGGAAGTTTCCTACAATGGTCAACCAATTTGACACCATTGTCGGAGGGGCGGATACTTAGCAGGGGGTGAAGAAGGTCAGTCACCCACATGGCTTCATTAGGTCTTTTAGTTTTGGTCACCGCTCTGCTCCTCAGGTCTCTGAGACCTCACTCAGTTGGTTTGTGAGCAGGCCCATATACCATTTCCAATATAGTATATTGTCCTTTGAATGGTTATAATATGAAGACATTAAATCAGATTGGCAGCCACGAATATAGGAATTTGAGCTGGATCACGGACCATTAGGAGTGCACACTGGTCCCATGCACCAAAAGACAAACTGCGGCACCCAAGGAGATCCACCTCAGTCCCCCTTAACTCAGAGACCGGACTTCAAAATATCGGGTCAATGTAATCAAATGAGTGGGATAAACGGCATTTAATCCTTGCCGTTGACGGAACGGTATCCACGTTTGATTGCAAAACTTCGTCTCCAAAAATTCGCTCACCGGCGCAGTGCAGTGCGCTCGCATCCTATTTAGGGCAGTTCAGAAAGATTTTTCTGGGGTACAAAACAGCTCATACTAAAGTACTTGAATGTATTGCAATAGCAATGATCTTTTATCTGTTCAATCAAGGAGGCATATGCACGCTTTCTGCTTTGCGGGTCCGAAACGTTTGTCGTCTGGTGTATTAGTTTGAGTGACTGGTTGTACGCGAAAACCCAATTCACTGAAACATTCTTCGTACATCTGCCATTCAAACTTTTGTAAAATCAATCGCTGCACAAGAAACTTCCAAAACGTCAATCATTGAAGAAACCAATTACTTGAAAGTCACGTACTTTACTATAGCGACATATTCGATCTGTCAATGAAACATTGATGCAGCTGCAGAATTGTCTTGCAACCGTTATAGACCTATCATCAGTGCACCAGTCAAAAATCTCTATAACAATACGGTTGCATACTCAATAAAAAGTCAAAGACACAATGAACATCAAATAACACCAATCCAAGGAATAGAATAAAACGAAATCTAATAACAACAGAAACATTTAAGGAATTGATTAAAAGTTCTGAACACTGGAGCGCAAAACAGGTTCATCAACATTGCAGCGACGTTAGATTTGGTATCAACTTCGCAAGCAAAAAAGCAGCAAAGCAAAACAGCTTAATAAAACGGTACGTGACAGAGAGAGGCAAAGCATTTTGGTGCTCGAAAAAATTGCCAGCAAAGTTGAGAGCGGAATTCCTAGTTCAATAAGTAGCTGGTTAAAAGAAAAATATACCGTTATTTTCAGAGGCCTGCATTAGGACCAGATATATTTTGAACACTTCGCTGAGTGAAAAGCGTTGAGCTTCTGAGGGGAACAAGGTGACTGAAACCTGCTATGTTGACTTCAAAGTAAATGGCCTTCGCTAAAAGAAAAACATAAAAGCACGATGAGGTCTTCAAGTTCGATTCACTCGAGTCGAATCACTGTTGAAGTATCCAGCTAGCTCAACCGATGAAGCAGCGCCGTAATAAGCAATTAATTAGATTAAGTTCAAATATCATAACCCCCGCATAACCAAACACAGATAAATCTTCCATGATGCGCCAAAATATTGACTGACTAGTCCAACCGCAAACGCATTATCCTACTGAAATCAAATTGCAGCAAAAAGCAGTGATCTAACGGTTGTTTTATCAAGTAATCATTTTTCAGCATCTTACTGACAGTAATTTGTTGCCAGGAGCACGTTGTATAGGCTAACCATTATTGGTGTTGTTTGTGCATTTGATTCATTTATCATGATCCTCTCGGCCATCAATCTGACCTTGGTCTTCATAGATCCCGATGTTCCGTCGTAACTTTCAGCAACAAGAAGTCACAAAACACGTTTCAAAATAGCTCGAAATAATTTTATTGTGACACCGATCCGACATGCGATTTCAACAAGTTGAGCATTCTATCCGATGATGCCGCAAAAAAATCTGTATCCCCATTTTATTCAAGCGAGCCTTCGTGTTTCATCTTTGAAACGTATAACGCACGATCTGGAGCCCAAGCGCTTCGGAACACAACGCATGGAAGAGCAATAAGCATGTTCTTGTACTAAAGAGAAGAGGATTGTTTAATTTCTTAAATTGATTTGTACGACACTCAGACATTCAGTATTTATTTTTCATTAATCGATGCGGCAGGTTGGTTTTGAAATAATTCATCGTGGAGATTTCCAAGGATCAAAGCAGTAGCCACCGCCAAATAGAAAGCATTCCGTCACTTTCATCCTGCAGCAGCGAGAGGAACTATACCAAGTTACTGCACTGAAAGATTCTAATTTATATACTGCTTCAAGGTGAAAATAATCTTGAAGCGGTAGTCTGGTCTGAGCACAATCTCATGTTAGAGCTCACTTATGGTAAAGAGCCATCGAAAGCGAAAATGATGTGAGCCACACAGATGCCTACATTTGGTCCTGCTGAGTCCGTCACCGGTCTGTTTTTTATACAAGTGGCTGGCGGTGTGGTTTTGGGTGTTCTTTGATATATAGGGTTTCACAACGATATATTTGCATGTATTTGGATTAACAGGCCATAAACCTAGTTGCAAAACTTTGCTGACAAGAATCAGAAATACTTACGGACGCTGCAAATTTCTCAATTTGGAGTTAGGTGTAACTTATCTTCGTGCCCACTTTGGTCCGTTGGATCAACCGTTTATCATGAGAGTGCTCTATTTGTCACCGATAATGATTTTGCCAAAGTTATGGTTCCTTGCAATTCTATTTCCCTTAAAATGGATACTGGCGGATTAACTCCTGCTCTATTGGAGGGGGTGCGACTGAGTAAGTGGCATGAAAATAAAGAATTGGATATCTTGGTGCAACTTTATAGCACAGTTGGCCTGGAAACAGCTATCAACATATCTGGTTTGCCACTTTTGATTAGACGAAGTACATTATCCAATTAAACGGATTACACTAACTTCGTTAATGGATTCCTTTTCAATACTCTCAAGGTCAGCAACACCAATCAAGTCGCTCCGCATCTCTAATCCCTCTCTGTTGCAGACTGCACTTAGTGCGAAACGGTTGTTGTTCAAATTACTGACCGTAACCAAATTGCATTTACTGATGAATAAATTTGGGTCAAGCAGCTTGCTGATAATGCATTGGCTAGTTACACCTGTTCAACATAGAAGTTCTCCGTTGGTAGGGAGCCGTTCAAGAAGTCAAATTGAAAAAGAATGACATGGTATCGTTGACACGGAAGGGGACAGTTGGCTAGCTAGTGACTGCCACCAGGAATAGTTTGCGCTGTATCATCAAATCAGGCAGATGGATTTGCTGGTGACGTTCTTTTGGAAGACCCCACAATTGATCACTTGAAGGCTGCTTGGTCGCTAAACGTAACTATCTAGCTGGTGATGAATTACAGACAGCAAAATTTTGACTCTGGTGCTTCCAAACATAATTGTGCTATGGATGGATAGTTCGGCGAGAAATCTTTTCTTTCAGGCCTGATTGCCGGTATTGGTGACACTATCATTCAAGTAAAAGATATTGGTATTATAATGGTTTTCAATGGTGGATCAATAAGCAATTATCATTCCGTTTCTCATAAGGCGCAGTTACTTTGAATGTCAATTGCTAGAGATAAAAAATCTTCTTTTCACTTGAAGATGATTTTATTTATTTGAATGGTGCTTTTGCTGGAAAGAGAGCGGCTTCAGGTTTACATGAAGGTCTCGTTGACCCATCGGCTGTTCCGTTGATTATTACTAAACTCTTTGGCACCTCAGGTCTCCCATCATATACTGTTCCGATTGATATGGTGAAAATATACGCATTTCTGCTTCAGCTGGTTCACAGTGGTAGTCAGGTAGCAAAGGAAAAGCGACCGAGACATTGAATCAGCTGCCTGCAAGCCAGCCGACAGATGCTCCAATAAACCATATGATGATTGATTTAGGCAATTCAAAGTGATTAAATTTAAACAAAATGTTATCTATTTTTCATTTTAATATTGAATTTACTCAAGAAAGATAATATATTGCGGTTCGTACTGCGGCACGCAACAAGGAATTATCGTTGAGGCTGTCTGCAGCTTCTCGTTAATCAGAGGTAACATACAAAAAATATCCACTTATCGTAGATCTCATAATAGTCGGGTGGCTGAATGATGCCAGAAATCTGCAAGACAAATTCCAGGTAGATATTTAGAGCATCAATTGC